TCCCTCCTCTCACAGACCTCACCCTCCTGGAGGCTCCGTCTTCACCCCTAAGCATAAGGCTGCCCCGCCCCCCACATTAGCCAGTGAACAGTGTTTGTGTAAGAAGTCCTTTTGTGCAAATACCCTGAAAACAGCGATGGCATTTTGCAGCTACTGTTTCTGTTATAGGCGCTGTAGTCTAGTGATCACAAGCCTGGCCCCAGCTCTGCTGAGAGTTTGCCGTGTGCCTTTGGGAAGCACTTGGCTGTGGGCACTAGAATGGTTTCTTTGTTGTTTAGTCGCTAAGTCACGTCCATCTCTTCTTCGACCTCATGGACTGTAGCCCACCAGGCTCCTCTGTCCGTGGGATTTCCCAGGCAAGAATACTGGAGTACTGGAGGGGGTTGCCATTTCCTCCTCCACGGAATCTTCCCAACCGAGGGATCGAACCTGCGTCTCCTATATTGGCAGGCAGATTCTTTCCCACTGAGTCACCAGGGAAGCCAGCAAGCGTGCTGAGGGGAGTGCTTATCCTCTTAAGAGCACTGCAGATTTAATCCTTTTTACCTGACTGGTTGTGCTACTTTCTCCATGGATCCTTGTGCCTCTCTGAGGCACAGAGAGCTTAAGTATTTTGCCCAAAGTCACACAGCTCAGCAGAACTGGGATTTAATCCCAGCAACCTGGCTTGGGGTTATTAGGACAGTCAAACCCGTCAGGGGACAGAGAGCATTTAGACAAGGACCTGGTGCACCGTATGTGCTCAGCAAGTGTCAGTTAGCTCTGGTCATCATCACTTGCCCGAGGAATTGGGAGGCAGCTGGTCCTGTCTAGGCGAGGAGGCTGACTTGGAAATGCCAAAGACTCCCACTCATCCCAGACAACTCTGAAGCACACTGTGTCCGCGGAGCGCAGGGCAGAAGAGCAGCCGCCCCTGAGATCAGGTGGGGAGCGCCTGTGTGCGGGTGAGCCTGGGTCGCCCGGTATTAAAAGCCAAGCTGGAGCCTCCCTTCCCATCCGTTGTGCTAGCGCGGGACGCTGTCAACATGAAATGTGCAAGTGATTTAGAGCCCCTTTGCTCCTCTCTGCAGCAAACAGAGAAGCAAAGAAGTTAGCAAGCTTGTTTTGGCAGAGGAAAAAACATAAAACGCCCAAACCACAGAATTTTCAAAAATATTGCTAAGCACTAATTTCACTAACATGTTAGACAGCCTTTCGGATCTAGGCAATCTTGTTCCTCGGCTGGAAACAGTTCCCAAAAGCCATGTGATCCCAAACCCACCCTGGGCATGTGGAGCTGATGAGAAAGAAGGCCCCTGCCTTCTTCCCGGGCCTCCCAGCACCGCCGAACCGGGCGTTCCCAAGGAGTTAGCCCAGGACCCTCCTGAAGGCTGCTGCTGGCTTGCAGAAGCCCCCGCCTGCCTGCCCAGCAGGCCCTCCTGAACTCAGTCAAGCTGTAGAGGTTTATGTGCCTTCAAAATGTTGTCAGACCAAACCCACCCCCTGGGTCAAAGTCACAGCCCCAGAAAGACGACTTAAAGGTGCACACGGAGCTCCCTGCTGGCACCCACCCCATCTTTCAAGGTCAGCGTCTGTATCGAAAACGGGCTGAATAACTAGGCAAATAGAACAGCACCCTTGTTAAGAAGGTAATGAGTCACAAATGCTATTTCGATGGTTTTCTTTGAAAGAAATACACTTAACCAAACCAATTTTAATTAAAGATCTTGTCTTTGTAATCAGGCAGCCACAAATGAAGGCAAAACCGCTTTCATGTGGAATAATAAACACAGAGCTGAACTAGTTTTCCCATAAAAGGGCAGGGTAGGTTTTTTTTTTTTTTTCCCAAATAAGAAAATAGTTTGTTCCTAGCAATATGGGGGATACAAGAAAAAAAAAACCTGCCTTTTGCAAAGTACAAAATTTTGAATCGCCCTCACACCACCCACCCTCCCCCAGAAGCCACTTGTTGATGTTAAACCAATTGGAATGTTTGCCAAATTCACATCCCAGGGAGGATTATCTACCCTTTGAGATTAGACATGCGATCCTGATTTCTAAGGGAAAAACGCGGTCGAAAACCAAATAAACATACCTACAAGTACATCTAAGGCGCAAATGGCGGAGACATGATTGTAACACACCACAGTGTGTATTTCGGCAGAAGAAAGAACCTGGACATCAAAAATGATGTTTTGATTTTTAGTTTTAAATTAGACAACAGAATTGAAATACCTCCCCTAAATACATCCTCTGAAACCAGCAAGGAGATAATCATCTTCACTGAAATATGCATGTAATTCAATGATCCACGGAGAAGAAGGCATCTAAGGTGGCCTGAGCGTGGCCACTCACTCCTGCTTCTTGAGTCACATCTTTACCACGGAGTCCCCGGGTGGATGCCCGTGGACCGTCCTGCACACCACACCCCTCGTCGGGCTGAGCCTGCCATCGGATGTGGCTGGACACCCTCTGACCAAGGACAGCTGCAAGGGCAGTGGTCGCCTTGAGGCCTCTTGGCCTCTTGCTGAACTGGACGACCCTCAGGGCAGCAGGATAGGGTGACCACGTTGATCCTGGGGGGCTTCCTTAAGCATCTTGGGTTGAGTGACTATCTGTGCTGGTCTTACAAGTGCGGAACTTGTCTGGTGATAACCAGAACAGGTGATGGGGAAACAGCGAGGCTTAAGATGCAGGCTAGCTTCTGCTCTATCCGAGTGTCCTGCAAGGAGACGGGTGCTCTCTGCTGATGCCGCCATGCAGGCTGGTACCCACATGCTGGGTAGCATCTCACAGCCATCCTGAATGGCACATCTCTGTTACCTGCTCACTTGGGACCACATTTAATGTAGCAGCTGGCCTATCCCTGTGTTTGGTCAAATCTTGGTTCTGTGAATAGCAAATCTGCTCTTATTATTACTGTGTTTGGGGAAGCCCTGATAAGGGGCAGAAGACATGGCCCTTTCCACTTGCCTCCATATGAGGCTGGTGGCCCAGCAGCACCCCAGGTGCTCAGGACACACTGGCCATCTTCGTCCTCCTCCTCGAAGTCTCAGAGCCACAGGGGATTCCAGCCCAGTGGGGATGAGTGTGGGAGTCAGGCAGTGGGGGGCTGCATCCGCCCCTGGTGTACTAGCTATAGGCCAGTTTCTCATCTGCAAAGAAGATGACAGCCAGCCTCAGCACCCAGCGGAGGCAGCAGCCTGGCCCAGGTTTTTGTATAGATCACACTCCAGAGACTTAGGACGAGAGCAGAGTGGACCTGCTTGCACACGCAGACCACGACCATCATCCTACGAGGAGATAGGAGCACGCTCTGCTCCAGAAGTCAGCACTATGTCTCCTCCCCCAAGGTTCCTTCCTGCACCCACGTTCCAGGCTGTTCTAGGCTCTCTTCTCAGAATGCCTAGGAGTGTCCTGGGATGGACCTGGGCACGGGGGTGACCACAGTGACAAGGACAGCAGGATTGGAGTCCACCCCTCAGATGGCCTTTCTGGTGTGTGGTCTGGGACAGTTTTCCCGAGCCTGGAAAGGGGGTGACTTTGTTCTGGCTCCTCCCCTCCCCTCCCCCAGCCCACTGGGGACTTGCTGGCATTGAAGAGAGAAGAGGGCCGTGACTGAACCTAAGGAGGGGGGCACTGGCCATCCGGCCAAGGGACATGTGGACCACAAACAGCAGGGCATCAAGTCCTGAGACAAGAAGCCACCTGAGAAGACCTGAGAAGCCACTCCTGGATGATCAACCATTGTGCACGTCTACACGAGCCTCCCATCAGGTGTTTGCTAGTCTTTAAAATCAGCCGGCAATATTTCAACCTCAGTGGCAAATGACCTTGCACTTGTTATAAGTAGTATCTTCCTTTGAATGACAGATGACTTCTTTTAAGGCCTCACCTGCATTTCATTGTGTAGGTTTTTAATTATCTTCAGGGCAGGGGGTCTCCACTTCCCTGAAGGACCCAGTGCCTCCCCAAACACACTAAGCTCCCTCTGGACTTCCTTCTTCCTGAAACGCCCCCCTGAACCCCACCAACCTGCCTCCCCCAGTCAACACACCCTGCAGGTTGCAGCCATGCACAGACACCCCTAATCCCCAAGATCGGGCCACGTGTCCCCTCTGTGTAGCCAAGGCTGTACGCTCCTGTTGCAGTGTCATCACTTGAGTAGGTTTTAATTGTCTTCATCTGGAAACAATAGAAACCCAAAGTAACAGTTGCTTAAAAAAGGCAGTTTTTTGTTTTTGTTTCCCACACCAAAGTTTGGAGTGAGGCAGGTCAAGGCTGGTCTGCTCCTTCATAATGACCTCAGGATGAGGTTGATTAACCTACCACAGAGTCCTCTTTGTCCAGAGCCACCTTGCTCAGGGTGGCCACTTCAGCACCAGCCCTCACATCTCCATCCCAGTCAGCAGGAAAGAAGATCTCTGAAAGGGCAGAAAACTAGAATCAATTGTGTTGTTGTTTAAAGGGCCACCACACTCTGCTTCATCTGATTGGCCAGAGTGTAATCACATGGCCATACCTAGCTGCAAGGGAGGCTAGGAAACGTAGCTTTCCTTGTGGGTGAATACATGCCAGCTAAACTCAGTGTTCTATTACTTTGGTTGGGGAGGGGGAATGGAGTGACAGACGTGGGAGCTGAGCTGCCGCTTTGTCCAGCCATCTCTTTATTCCTAGTGCTCAGCTTAGAGACAGATCGGTGGATATTCTGAGTGAATAAGTGATGCTTGAATGACTGAGTAAGAGGGTCCAAGGTGGGCAGCAGGACCCAGCCGTGGGCTCCACCCTGCAGCAGGGAGCCTCACGGGACTGCAGGCCCAGGGCACCCTCAGCTCAGCTGATGAGCAGCCCCAGGGAGTATTGTGGTGATGAGGGGGCGGTAAAGAGGGTCAGGATGCTTTGACTTCCAGACGCCCCAGGGCCAGGGGCTGTGAGCAGGCCTGCAGGGGAGGGGCCGTCTCAGCGCCTGATGGGGGCACTCGGTGAGGTCCCTCCCTGCCTCTGCTCCTCTCCCATCTCAGTGCCGCCATCCTCTCTGCCTTCTGGGGTCTGAGCCTGGCACAGAGCTTCAGCAGGTAAGCCCACCCCGCTGTCTGCATTTAATTTACCCCGTGTCGCTGGGGCCCAGCTCGCAGACAGCTGTGCGGAGGGATCATCTTTTACAATCCAATTAGCAGCAGACCCCCCCCAGACACCGGGGAGACCCGAGGCGGTCCCCTTCCCACAGCGAGGCTCGCTGCCCTGGCATGGAGCTGGGCTGCCTGGAGTCTGGAGGGAGGGAAGGGACAGGCAGAAAGGAGGAGGCGGTGAGCTGATACTCTGGCAGGGGTAGAGGGAGGACTCTCCTGAACTTGGCCCGATCAAGAGCGAGAGGCAGGAAAGGCCGAGCCACCCACGCACTTCCCCATATGGCCTCCCAGCTGCGACTCCTTAAGTTCCACTTGGGCCCAGCTTGTGGACGACTCACCTTCCTTTCTCTCCTGGCAAGTAAATGACGAGGGGCCTTTTTTCTGGGTCCCCCGTCCTCACCTGGGGTGGAGCAGAGAGGAATCTCCTGAGCTCTAGCACGTGTCTGCAGCCACCACATCCAGCCTGCTCCTCTTGGAAGGAGAAACTGAGGCTCAGAGGGGGCCCAGAAGAGTGGGGGCTTGGCGGAGACCACTCCCCCATCCAGTCACTAGCAGCCTGCTAGGTCCCCCAGGAGGGCCTGTTTTGCACCATTTGCCACCTTGCCTCAATTATGCCTCGACCAACAATAGCACTCAGTACCGGATGTCAGGAATTTACCCCAATTTCCCGCTGGGAGGCTCGAAGTACCTTGTTTCGTAATTTCCTCTACCAAGCTGACATCATCGGAGGCCTCCTCCTGGGATCACACATTCCTTCTCTGGACGAGGAAACCAAGGGATGGGCCAGCTGATGGCGGGGGGACCCTGGAAAGATGCTGCCAGTGGGCCCTTGGACAGGTACCGAGGTTGGTCCGGGTCCCCAGGGACTGCCTGTGGCATCATTCCCGTGTGGCTTTTGCACCCCCAGAGCCCTCTCTCAGCTGATGGCATCCATCAAAGTCCCTGAAGGCATCACTAAGAACAGAGCCCCCTTTGAGTCCCAAAGGACCGAATGGCCCACCAAGAGTGAGCTGGGCTGAGGTGAACAAGCCTGGGTCCCAGCCGGGGTGGGTTGCTGGGTAACCGTAGATGCCCTGAGTGGCAGAGGACTCCTGTTTAAAACGAGGCTGGGATTACGTGCCCTTCACCTTCCTGCCCTGGTGTCCCATTCTTTATTTTTTAGTTCCACGTCAGATGCTCCAAGCCCATGAGTTCAGTTTAGCCTCCTTCCCCGCCCCGCTGATATGTGGTGCTGAGCTCCCCGCCTAGCACACAGCCTTCCTAGGGGCTGGGATATGCCCGCAAGTCTCCTGGTTTGGGAGATCAGCTCACAAACTTGGCCCCTTGCTAATTATCCCTCCCACTTGTCCGGCCTGATAACTGTTGCATTTGGAAACAAATGACACCCTTTTCCTACATCTGCTCCAAATTTGTCTCTCAGAAATTAGAGAATTTAGTTATGCGGTATTACATGGCAGTCCGGCCGGGCCTTGGAGTGTGGAACTGATTGGATATTCCACCCAAAATAAGTGGAGTTTCGAGCTCTTTCCAGGAAATTGAGTGGAACACGCAAACTGACATCCAATATTAAATATTATATTTGTATGGTTGTTCTGTAGAGTTCCCTGGCGTCCGACATCTGGGACTGAGATTTATAAATGCAGAAACTGAATACCTGGTTAGAACGGTGCTCATCAGAGCTGAGAAATTAAAATATTACTGTGTGCACTCCAAGGCAGCCTGCTTATAAAGGTAGAGCTATTAAAATATGATTAGCTGACCCGTATTTTGTCTCAAAAATGTCATACACCATTAAAGTTGAGAAGACTTTGATGCATATAGCCCTGGCACAGGCTTTGCCCCGTCAGCAGCAATGTGCTCGGGAATGTTCACTGCAAGCATACAGGCCCGCCGAGGGAGGGGCAGCCTCCCAGGCAGCAGGATGCCCAGCACCTGGGGACTCAGGCGCCAGGCCTCAGGAGCATCTCAGCCCGGGGGCCAGGTTCCCCAGAGTGCTTGGGGCAAGCTGCAGGAGGAGTGGGTACAAATTTCAGGGAGTGCCAAAAATCTTGGTAATCAAGATAAGTTCATGTTTTAGTATAATATTAAAAATCAGAATAAAACAGACAAGAAAGAAAAAGAAAACCACCTTGGCAAACTACTGCCTGCTGTATGGCCTATTTTTATAAATAAAGTTTTATTAGAACTGGGGCCAAGATGAGGGTGTAGCAAGTGAGCAAGTGTTATGCCAATTCAGGACCAGATTCTGTCCTTACTTGAAATTTGATATTTTGCCCATCAGGGTTTTAAAAAAATTCATGTCAAGTTTTTTGTCATCCATTTAAATTTGGGGCTCAAGGTAAATACCTTATTCTGCCCCCCACTCACAGCCCCAGCTCTGGATGGGAGAGTAGCTTCAGGTAGGGACACTCTCACCCCCAAGCCACCTTCTGGTTCTCACTGGTTCTCCAACTGGATCCTGCCTCAGGGCGGGCTGGGGAGCTTCTGAAAAGATTGCCGCCTCCCACCCCAAGTTTCTGATTTGGTAAGTCTGGGGCGGGGGCCAGAGGCCATTTCCCTGGAGCTGCTGCTGCTGTCGGGGACTTCACATCTAAGGATGTGGGGAGAGGCGCTGGGGGAGGGAAGCCGAGGGTGAGAACAGGGAAGCTGGAAGCAGACTGTGTCCTGGGGACACTTGCAGTGCCAGAAGGAGCACCCAGCTCCAGCTGCATTTTCCCATCGCTGCTCCTGTGTCTCCATAGGAAGCTTCTGTGAAAGACGGATTCCCAGGACCTTCTGAATCAGAGCTGGCCAGGGCGTGGAAGGTTTATCTTTGACCCTCTCCCCGGTGGCTCTGATGCCCACAAGTTAGAACCAGCCATGATACTTCCCCACCTCCCCATTATGAATTCTTGGCAGGGGGTTATTTTAAAATACTACTTCCTGCACCCAACCCAAACCATCTGAATCCAGATTTCTGGGCACCACCTTAGGCATTGCCAGCTTGTGGGACTCTCTGGATGCTTGTAATGTGTTCCATCAGCCAGGCCTGATGAAGTTTGAGTTCAAGGGCTTTTCCAGGGCAGACCCCTCCCCCCACCACCCATCATCACCGTTGAGAGAAAAGAACTGCCCGTGCTGCACCAGCTCGGGGAAGGACGGGTGGCCGCAGCTGATGGACCACATCTGGGCAGACAGCCGTCGAAGAGCGGGTTGATGCAGACAGTCATTGAAGAAAATTGCATCTGAGGACGTCGGGCAAGTCACCGTGATTCTGTAGGCTGGTTTTCCTTTCAAACCACTGAGGCCTGGCATGGGCCCAGGTATAATAGAATTGACCATACTGCCCACTGGGATGCAGACCTCGCAGCCTTGTAAATGGCCTGAGAGATCTGTAAACTGGAGCACCAGCCCCATCTGCACCCTGTCATTTGTTTGGCTTGGCAGAGGCGAGAGTTCATGCCTGGCATTATTATTATTACGATGGGATTTTCATGGTGATTCACCTCCCACAGCTCAGCCTTCCCCTCACGGCCTGTGAAGGAAACCTCTCTGACGTCTGTGTTGCCACTAAGATTCGTCAGGGTGGTTGGAGCCCCTGGGCCTGATCAGGCTCATGGTCCCTGGGCTCTGGATGCTTGGAGGGCTGACCTGTCTGTGTCCTCGGGGGCCCTGACCCTCTGGGCATGATGCGCGTGGTGCATTTGGTGGGTACCAGCTTCACTCGGGCCGTCTGCTCCATGCTGGGCAGGAGGGGCCTGTATTCACGCAGCGGCTGCCTTTGGCCGAAGCGGCCAGCCCCATGGCTCAGCCTTCCCTCAGCCACCAGCCCAAGGAGGAAGAGAAGTTGAGTTAACCTCAAATGTTGGGCAAAGTTGAACACATTAGGTGTGGGGCAAGACTAAGTGTGTGCGTGTGTGTGTGTGTGTGTGCGCGCTCGCGTGCGTGCGCTTGTTACTCACTCAGTTGTGTCTGACTCTGTGTGACCCTATGGACTGTAGCCCGCCAGGCTTCTCTGTCCATGGGATTCTCCAGGCAAGAATACTAGAGTGGGTTGCAGATTCTTTTACCATTTGAGCCACCAGGGAAGCCCATGGGGGCAAGACTACCTGGGTTCACGTCCAAGCTCTGACACAGACCTGCTGGGTGTCCTTGGACATCACCTAAAAACTCTCCATGGGCCTCAGTTTTCCCATCTGTTAAATTAGTATTTAACTCCAGAACAGCACATGTGCTCACTCCATCATGTTGGACTCTTTGCAACCCCATGGACTGTAGCCCACCAGGCTCCTCTGTCCTTGGGGTTTCCCAGGCAAGAATACTGGAGTGGGTTGCCATTTTCTCTTCCAAGGGATCTTCCCGATCCAGGGGTCAAACCTGCATCTCCTGCATTTCCTGTATTGGCAGGCAGATTCTTTACCACTGCACCTCCAGGGACGCACAGAACACCACCTAGGGTTGTCTAAATATAAAATCAAATCAGCCATGTAGAGCAATCTTGGAACAGCACATGACCATGAGATTAACTTATCAGATGTCCATCTGTCTAGCCATATCTCTATACATCTTTTTTTTTTTTTAATTTATAGGTATCAGACTTCCCCTCTGGGGTCCAATTATTTAAGCTGAATGCCTGTGTTTAAGGTTTTCACAATGCACATTTGCAGTCCCTACTGAAAGGCAGCTGGCCCTTGGTAGCCTGAGGGATGGAGTCAGAATCTGGAAATTTCTAGGCAGATGTAAAGGAGAAAGAAGGATTCCAGGGCGCTCCAGGAAGAGGGAGCTTCAGGAGCAAAGGTGCCCACAAAGGACTGGGCTTACTGAGGGCAGAGGCTGAATGCCACTCACGCCACCCTCCCCTCTGTAGGGCTTGGCACAAAGCCTGCTCCTCAGAGCCTCGGGCAGGATGGCTGCAGGGCTGTCCCAGGGGTGCCATCCTTGGATGGCACTCCTGGAGCAAGTGGATCTGTGGCTCCACTCACTGGGACCCAAAGGGCCTGTGGGAAAGTCAGCCTTTGATCTTCCCCCAAAAAGCCGGCCTGGGGGCGGGGGTAGAATTGTGTTCCCTCACTTAACTGTGGAAAAGTCCAGACACACAGGAAAGTTAAAGTGCATGTGCAGTAGTCACCCACACACCCACCGCACCTCAACTCTCTGGTTTACACCTTACTGTTCTCACTTCACCTGTCCATCTGTCCATTGCTCCACTCATCACTTCTATATCAGTTTTATTTTATTTTTTTATGCAGGCATCAGATTGCTTGAGCTCTGAGGCTAACGAATTGTAGACGAGTTTCTCTGTTTGAGGTTTTAATAGGGAGGAGCCCCTGTAAAAATGCAGTTGGGCTTCTCGATGTGACTCCCTCTTGACATGTGTGCACGAGGGTGGGAGGGTGGTTTCCTCGGAACAAGGACCCTGCTTCCTCACCTCTCATCCTCCTCCAAGAGTTAACACTGCATTTCCTCAAGCCCAAAAATAAGTAAAAAATTAAACAACAGCAGGTTTCTTTTTTCCTTTTATAACAGCATTAATCTTTCCACTCACCCATCCATCCATTCACCCACCCATTCATCCATCCACCCATCCTTCCATCCCTCCTCCATCTACCCACCCACCTACCTACCTATTAACCATCTACCCATTCACCCATCCATTCATCCATCATCCATCCATCCATCCATTCACCACCCATCCACCCATCCACCCATCCTTCCATCTATCCATCCATCCACCCACTCACCCACCCATTTATCCATCCACCCATCCATCCATCCATCACCCATCCATCCATTCACCCACCCATCCACCCATCTACCCATCCACCCACCTATCCTTCCATCTACCCACCCACCCACCCATTCATCCATCATCCACCCATCCATCCATCCATCCATCCACCCACCTACCACCCATTTATCCATCCATCCATCCATCCATCATCCATCCATCCATCCACCCACCCATTTATCCATCCACCTATCCATTCATTCATCATCCATCTGTCCATCATCCATCATCTATCCTTTCACCTATGCAAAAGGCATTTACCCAGAGCATCATCATTAGTTACCCTATGTCCCTCATTTAATTCCCAAGACAACTCTCCCAGACAGGTACTATTATTATCTTCTTTGTCTGTGTGAAGAAAATGAGGCACCAAGCTCCCATAGGCAGCACTAGGACTTGACTGCAGACCCAGGGAGCTGTCCACACCAGTGCTTAGGGCTGTTTGACGCCTTCCCTCATAGGGCCCTGGCAGTTCCAGAGGCTCAAAATGGAAATGGGTAACACTGCCGTCACTGACAGAGCTGTGACCTCAGAAAGTGCCATCATGGCCCTCAAGTTTTAGGGAGCCCCCAAACCTGGAGTGTTCCTTCTGGGGAGCTGGGGTTTCACTTCACGCCCATCTGGAATACAGGGAAGGTCAGCTTTGAGACTGGCTTTGGGGACTTTTCCTGGAAGGAGAGTGTCCCACCCACCAGAGTCTCGTGCAGTCAGGTCTGGGAACAAAACCGCATTTCCTGTGTTTACCAAAGCTGTTCTGTAGGATGAGTGGAGACCCAGGTCACTCAGCCCAGGCACATTCCGAAGGGACCAGCCACCCAGGAAGCAGTCAGGGTCAGGTGCTGGGTGGGGGTTGTGCAGGCATTAGCCCCGGGATGGCTGGGTGACCTTGAGGTGCACGTGCAGGTGGGTCCTGAGCCCCATCGCCCTGCCCTCTGGTGTAGTGAGTGAGGGTCCTCAGAGCGCAGCCTGACCCTCTGTGTGCCTGGGCAGGATGGACACAACTCCAGAGACGGCCCCAGGACAAAGGCGGGGAGGAGGTGGGAGCCCACCTCAGTGGTCCCTCTGATTGATGCCAGGCTTAGTGGAGCTGCTGTGTGGAAGCCCCCCTAATTCTCCGGGACCCCCAGCTGCTGGCCCTGTGTCTGCCGGGTGAGGGTTGATGGACCCGGCCTGAGGCAGCCCATCTCCAACTTGATTTGGAACATCGGTAGCACCAGAAAGGCGTGTTGACCCATAGATGACCCGCCTGCCCCCGCCCTCACCCCTCAGCTTCACGAGGACTGGGTGACAGTGGGGAACTGACTCCAGCCAGGTCCCAGGTGATGCTGTTGCTGTAAGTCTGGGGGGGCCAGACTTTGAAAAGCCCCCTCGGGTGTGTATCCATCTTTGCTAAAGGCGTGTGTGCACAGGGGCCCTCAGTCACTGTAACACAGCCAGTTCTGACGGGCACAGCCGCACAGAGCCCCGGCGGAGGACCCGGCCACGGCTCCCAGGCTTCACCTGGCTGATCTCCTGGCCGACACGGGTGTAGCAGCCGTGCGCCACGCCACGTGGGAAGCCGAGGCCCAGGGCAGCCAAGACCCGTAAGTCTTGCTTGCTGAGCACTACCCGTGGCTTCTCATGCGTGCAGGGGGCCTGTTCCCCATCTCAGAAGAGGTCGTGTGTGATGAGGTCACCGGTCCAAACGCTCAGCGTACAGCACACACGGGCGACTGGTGGCACCTGGCTGTTGGGCCAGCGAGCCATCTCCTTTTTGCCTGAAGCCTTGCTGGCCCTCCTTAGTAGTTCCTGGCTCCGTTTCTGTCATCATAAAAGATGATCTTTCCGTGAGCGAGCCTCTACCCATGGAGGCTTGTCAAGAAATTTCCCCAATCTCCCTCCCTCCCTCCACCTCCTTGAGGTCAAGTGGAAATGGCCGCCAAAGCAGGGCCCATGGACACGTCAGGGCCGCCCAGTTGGCCCCGGCCCCTGCCCTGGGCCCCATGCCCCGGCCGCCTGATGGACGGGTGGGGTGCGGGTCTTGGCCACTGCCCAGGTGTCTGGGTGGGGAGGGGGTGTCTGCGGCCAGTGAGGGCGGGAAGCACCAGGCAGGGGGAGAGAGAGGCGCATGAATAATCCGCTGACCTTTCCTCCCCGTGTTTGGGCGAACCTAAGCCTGTTTACAATAAACCCCAGGGAGATTTTTCATCCTTCCAAATGGAACAAGGGTTATGTAAGCAGAGAGACCTGGAGCTCGGCAAACACCTGCTCCAGGGGGCCCCACAGAGGGAGACAGGGGGGAAGAGGGGCCCTCTGCTGACTCATGACCAAGTTCAAGATGACACAGCCTCCATCAAGCAGGAGGCTGCTGGGAAGGGCAGAGGGTGCTTCTGGGGGGCATCAGATGGGCCCTACTCTTAGGCCACCCTCCTCCACAGCCCACAGAAGTCAGGAGGGCTCACAGTCTTCTACCACTGCCCTCCACCGCCTCCAGGAGGCTGCCCATCTCTAGAGTTTATTTCAAAATGACCCTGGGTGTGGTGTCCTCTGTCTTTAAACACGGGCCTGCATATTTCCTGGGAATAGTAAGGAGGACAAAAGCCACTCACCCCTCCTAGGTTTTGTCTTTCTGCTTTATGTATCCTTGGAGACCTTCAGTGGCAACTTGACCCAGGTTGTTTATGTACAGACACTGGTCTTTCATCTTGGGGTTTAGATAGGTGTATTGTGCTAAGATAAGCCGGACTGGGAGTGTGAGGTTAGCAACCGACACTTTGGAGGGTCTGCAGGACTCCTTATAGGAGCTCTAGGCTGGTCGGCACCCTGTACCCATTCACAGTTTGGGCAAGTCTAGGTCAACCCCACTTGGGGTGATATCTCCCCACAATTTCCCAAATAAAGACCTAGACTTGCCAGTCCAGAGTGATCTTGACCTCCAGCTCAGACCACACCATGTCGCAGGAGAGGAAGGAAGGCATCTATAGTGCCCCCAGATGTCCCCCTGTGGTTTTCAGACTCTCTGGCAGGCAGTGGCGGGTGGCGTTTTCCAAGATGGCTGTGAGGAGATCTCCCCACCCTGCACAGGTGGGGGGGTCTGTGCTCTCCTCCATTTGTGTCTCAGTGGCCCTGCGCCCGCAGCAGAGGTGGAGCCGTCTGACTGCCCCGAGGGGGCCCGGAGAGGGGACACACTTCTGTGTGGTCCTGCCGGGACAGTCCTTCTGGGAACCCGGCCACCGTGACGTGGGGAAACGGAGAGGCCCACATCGAGAGGCTGATGTGGAGGGAACCGAGGCTGCGGATTCCCAGCTGACAGCCAGAACCTCCGCCAGCACAGGGCCATCTTGGAGGAGAGCCTCCAGCAGCACCAGTCAGGCCGCCAGGGATGCTGGAGCCAGGTCTGCAGCCCTGGGTGTCCGGCTCCAGAGCCAGTAGCTTCTCCCGCTGACAGCCACTCCTGTGGGTTACAAACTCTCCTACCCCTCAGGCCCTCTTCGGCGTGTCCCCCACTGCCTTTCCCAGGCTCCTCCAAGGCACCCACCACTTATCCAACCATCCAGCCATGTGCCCGGTGATCTGCCGGCTGCAGACCCCTCCCAGGTTTCCTGCCACCATTGCACCACTGTGTCCTGGGTCTGAAATGTTCTCCACTGTAGAAAACTGCCCACACATGTACCAGGCCAGCTGGGCTTCAGAGCTCCTGGTGTGTGAAGAGGGCAGCGGCTCCCAGAGATCTGGACTCACAGAAGGGCCCAGCCATGACATGGGGCGGGGGACACGCCTGACTGTAACCTGCCGAGGGTCCAAGGACCACCACCCGCTCTGAGTTCCTGTCCAGCCCGGCCTGTGGCCGTCTCAGGAGCCCTGTGTCCTCTACTATTCCTGCTGCGGACTGTGGCTTCCTGCGAGCTCAGGGCGAGTGTGTCCTGCACATCCGTGCACTCAGCCCTGAGAGGACCAAATGCACTAGGTCACTGCACGTTGCCCGGGTGGTGGGGCTGCTTGCCTCACCGGTCCACCCTGCTCACCCCAACACCAGCTCTCCCTTTGTTCATCTGATAGGTCCACCTGCCCCCTCCCCAACTTTCTCTGGGTCCCACAGCCATTGACGGGCCCACCAGCAACTGGGCAAAGCCTGGTCCCCTGACCCCAACTCAGGGTTTTCTGTTGCACACCACTCCCACAGTGTCCTGCTGGGCTTTCACAGTCACCCCAGTAATGAATCCTGTCTTCATCTTAAAGACCTGGGATCCCCAGCCCAGAGAAACTGAGTCACGGGCAGAGGCCACACGCTTCAGAAGCAAGGCCTGAACTCGGCCTGTCCACTGACCCATCACCTCTCTCCCCATCACCCCCACTTCGCAGCAGTGCCACCTGCTGCCCCCGCTCCTGCAGCTTGCTGGCCTGGCTTGTAGCAGCGCTACAAGCCCTTTGCCCGGCTCCCTGGCACTGTTCCTGAGGGTGGTGAGTCACCCAGCTCCAGGGCAACCTTGACTCACTAGCCACTGCAGCCCTCCAGCTGGAGCGTTCTCCTCATGCCTGAGCCCATTTCAACATGATGGGAAAAATGGCTCAGAGTGAGTTGTCCTGGCGTTGCTGTTCCCTCTCCTGGCATCCCAGAGGCCCCATGTGCCTCCTCTGTGCCTGGCGGACTCCCAGGTACCTTAAGGCATTTGGCTCAGATGCCCCTTCCCCCAGAAAGCCCTCCTGGCTTCCTACCCCCTCCGCTCCAGATTTGCACACCCTTATCAGGGCCTTTCCCCAGTGTCCTTATTGCTTGTTGCTGCTCTGCAGGACCACTCTACAGGCCTCACAGGACTCTCCCACCTGGCCCTACTGCACCAAAGCTCAGAGAGTTTGGGACGTTTGCCCAGCGTCACACAGCTGGGAAGTGGCAGAGCCCAGCACACTCAGACAGATTGGAGCCCAGTGCTCTGCCTGCAGGCAGTGCAGCCTAGTGGCCAGCGAGGCGAGGAGGGCTGGGAGGCTGCCCCTGCCCCTGGTGTGGGGCCTTGGGCAGGTAACTACACTTGTGACATCATCTTCAAGGTGCCTCTGGACTCTGAGTGACCACATCCCAGGCTCGGACACGAGGACAAGGCTGGCCAGCCAAGGAAGGCTGCCTGCTTATGCCTCCCCCCACCCTCCAACTTTGCTTCGTTGCCTCTGCTCTCTGCTTCAGCCTGGACCTGACCCCTGACCTCAGGGTCACCCCATAAGGACACTCAGCAGGCAGTGCTGAGTGAGGTGTCTGCACCTGTACAGTAGGCCACTCGTGGTGGTCGTTCTTTCGCTGTCTGTCCATGCCCTGCCCGACCGACCAGGGCCTGCTTACCTACCATCCCCTACGCACAGGACTGACCTTCCTGCATGCTGCCGCAGGCCCCAGGTGGTAATTGTTCTAATCAAAGGGGGCCCTTTGCGGCCACGTGCCCACTGCTGGTTTCCCTGGTAACTAAGGAGCCCACCTGAGGTCACTTCCCCTGTAACTGGTAACCTGCCCTTTCCCGGGAGCGAAGCCTGCCACCATGTCCTGCCCGCCGTCCACCGCACACAATGGGGCATCTCTCCAGGACCCTGCTTCAGACGTGTAAGCTCCCCCACCCATTAAACCCAGATGTCTCTGTCTCTGCCTCTGGCTCTTTCTTCTGTCTTGAAGCTGCACAGACGGGGCTTGCAGGCCTGTAGTGTGCAGTCCCACAGTTGGCAAAGCAGCCAGGAGACCAAGGAAACTACCATGAGCACCAAGATGTCGGGAAACACAGGACGGGGAATGGAAAGTTGTGGGGGGCGTCTACTAACACGTGGACGCTGCTGCATTGCTGGGGGAGTCCCGCTTGGCTGTCCGCTGACAGGCGGGCCCCGTGATGACTAGTGGAGGGCTGCCAACGTGTCTGGAGAACAGTGGCCTCTAAGGTGTCTGCTGGAATGTCAGAAGTGAGTCTTCTGTAGTTGGCTATGAAGGCTGAGTAGAAGGAACTGGTATTCCTCTTATGCCTTTGAGATGTGAATGGTCTCCCTGGGCTTGCTGGGGCTTTGTGATCTCTAAGAGTAAAGGACAAAAACACTTTGAGGTAAACTCTATGCAAATATTTATGTTTTGCAAATGTCTATCTAAAATAGTCTCTCTAGACTTTGGTGACATAAAACTAAGTTAAATGAAGAGAATTCATTGACTACCTGGGTCATTTAAAATAGGAGAAAATACTGGGACGTTAATGGCTGGACAGGTCTTAAGTTTACCTACCCTGGCCTTCTAAGGAGAGGAAGACTGAAGCATAAGTTTTCCAATCAGGAAATGCATGATTATGTACTTCTTGGTTTTTGCCAGAGATTAAGGTTTCAAGGGTTAAGATTATATTCAGCTGTAATTCTTATAAACAAGTCTATCGATTACATTGGGTTCAAGCATTTGTGCCTTTTTAAGTCTTGTCGTTTTTAGACTGCTGGACTCTGATGCTTTGGAAAAGTGCTTCATTTTCAAGAATATTAATAGCAAGGACCTGTTGACAATAACAGGCCTCTGATAACTTTCAGATTATATTGCTGAGCTGGGTAAGAACTTCAAGAATGCTAATGGAAGAGTTGATGGCATCATAAAAAGTTTACGAAAAGATTGGTTACTGAGCGAACTGGTGAAAACGGTGATATTTTTTACGGGTTTTTGTCTGCGATGTTTCCAGTGTGTTTTGGCTTTTTCGGCTGCATTGGTCTTTGTTGCGGCACGTGGGGTCCTCGATGCATCATGTGGGGTCTGTCTGCAGTGCACGGGCTCTCTGGTCGTGTCGCACAGGTTCTGGAGGGGCAGGTTCAGTAGTGGCTGCATTTAGGCTGAGCTGCTCAGTGGCACGTGGGACCTTAGTTCCCTGCCCAGGGATCTTACCCGTTGCCCCCTGCATTGCACAGTGCATTCTTCACCACTGGACCACTAATTACTGGCTTCTATCTGTGTTTTCCAGGTAGAGCGAAGCCCTTCCCCTCAAGTTGGTCATGATCTACAGGAATTTGGTAAACTATACCTGTGGGTAGGATTAAAAGTTTTTTCTCTTCTCTCTGCTTGGTCTCTCAGGAAATTGGGGACCGCTGGGTTCCGAGCAGCCTTATCAGCTGAATAGGAAAATCTATCTCCTGGCATGTGCAGGAACCTCAGTATTTGGAGGACGGAGGGATCCACTGAGGTGGAACCGGATGGCAGGGCTTGGGCGTGACTTTCCTTAAGAAGCCTGTTGGGAATTCGGTCTGAACTCCTCCTGGGGAGTTAGTTCTACCTCAGCCAGTTTGGAGAAGCCTATGTGACTGTTTGACCTGACTTGTTTTGCGGACAAAGTAGTCTTGAGTTGACTGTGTTTGGTGGTGAGAGGGTAATTTTAGAGAGAACAATACTGTGTTTCAGTGGATGCTAAACTCTAGTTTTGTTAATTGTGGTCTGTATTTCTGAAAGGTAATGTGTTAGCCACACTGTCGCCCTGACGTTCTGGATGGAAAGATAACCATCTAGTGAAATTTTCACAGAGTGTAACCTCTCATGAAGTGTGACACTGCTTGCTTTAGGTCTGCAGGTAAAAGAACACATCCAGTGTGTGTGTGTGTGTGTGTGTGTGTGTGTGAGTGAGACAGTTGGGTATAAGGGATAAAATGTAGAGCCTCTAAAGTGTTTCCCCATTAGCATACCCCTGAGATCTGACGTGTTTCCCCTCCCTATGAATGACTAGGCGAATGGAAAGGAGGCCTGGCCCCTAGGGACAGGATCTGAAGCTGGTTAAGGAGCCAGCACCCCAACACCACAGGACAAATGTTTGGATCACCCGTGCTTTCTACTGAAAGACTTGCAATCAAAAGGGGAAATGATGGAAGAACCTGCAGGTATTGAGCATGGGGAAGTCCTTCTGGCTTATCAGTGGTTGAACGTAAACGTTACCGACCAGAGCAGCCTGTTCTGTAGCTTTTAGACAAGCTTTATACACCTGCCATGGCCGTTGAGTGAAGGGATGGAGCGGCTGAGGTCCAGATGTCCAAGGTGGCCGTCATATACGTGATTTTGGACATGCTCTTGTGTTACTGAAAACCTGAGTTTTCTGAAGTGTTTTGCAGACCAGGAGAAAACCACTGGGGAGTGTGGTCTTATCTCTGAACGTGGTCACTGTGTATTTTGCTCAGTTGTCACCATCGCACCTGTGCCAGACCTGTCAGTTGTCTTACGTTTCATCCCTAGTCTGAGGTCTGAAGGAGGAACTCCACTGGAGGCCGAGCACCCTCGCTGGGGGTTGAGTCTAGTTGCTGGGGCCACAGCAAAGTGCCATGGTGGTCCTCCTCTGGTTGGTTAGTTAGTTCAGTCACTCAGTTGTATCCGAATCTTTTCGACCCCGTGGACTGCAGCCCGCTTCCCTGTCTATCACCAGCTTCTGGAGTTTACTCAAACTCATGTCCATTGAGTCGGTGATGCCATCCAACCATCTCATCCTCTGTCATCCCCTTCTCCTCCTGCCCCCAATCCCTCCCAGCATCAGGGTCTTTTCCAATGAGTCAGTTCTTCACATCAGGTGGCCAAAGTATCAGAGTTTCAGCTTCAGCATCAGTCCTTCCAATGAATATTCAGGACTGATTTCCTCCATGAAAAATCGACCTGGCCTCCGTGCCTCTGGGAGGATGACTGACCACAGCGGGAGAGACTTCCCGCCTTCCTGTCCCGCGTGCTAATGCGCCATAAGGACCCACCAGTCAGTGTTAGTGTGCAGCTGGCTGGCCATGAGCCCCCCGGGCCGGGCTGTGTGGGTAGAACAGGCTGGCTTCTGGATGCACAAGTCCAGGGATTGGAGTCAACTGTTTGGAAAGACCTGATGGGTCCCCTCCTCATGGTACTCAGCATAACGTGGGGGGCACACCTGTAACTGTGCTGACTCCTGACTCGGCCCCCAGAATGTCCCCTTCAGAGCCAGGCCCTCCCCTGCCCCTGGGAACAGCTCTGGGTTTATGAAACCCCAGGATGGTGTGACCATCCGTGTGGCTGGACAGGGCCCTGCTGCTGTTGAACCCTTTTCTGTCCACCTGGTAAGTTCACTCTCATCCTGGCTCATGACTCTTGTGAGCAGACCAGGGCTCTTACTCTTGGTGCTCGTTGGCAGCTGATGTCCGTGCTGTACGTGTGGTGTCTGGGTGCACAGCCCGCTGCACATCTGACCCCAGTGATATGGCGGAGAAGGGGGGACCAAGACTGGAAGGGTCCTGCACAGTTTGCACGGGTGGGGTGTGTGGTCAGGACATTCAAGGCGGCCGCTCTCTTGTTCCCTGTCCATCCCTTGCCGCACCAGTGCCGGCTTCAGATTCCCCTACACACAGGCCTGACCTTCCCGCCTACTCACCCAGGCCCTACCCAGCTGGCGATTGTTCTAACCAAAGGGGCCGTGAGGGGCGTGCCCCTCTGCTGGTCTCCCTGGTAACTTGTGAGCCCACCTGATGTCAGTTCA